CCTTTCCTGGAATGAAGCACACCTTTTTAAGCTCCTCCCTGTTTATAGAGTATTCACTTCAGACTTTACTGATCTGCCGGTCATGTGATAAGATGCAAAACAGAACATTTCCATCTGCTCAGGTGAGTGTCTCTGCATGAAAAAGCTTTTATCTGGAAACAGAAAGTAAGATGTCATTTGAGGGGAGAAGAAATGGCGCAGCAAGTAATTGAGCTGGATCAAGGCAAACTCATTCCCTCCCCTTTGACTCAGCAGCCAGTTAAAATATGGATCGAAACACCATGTGATCAAATGCGAGCGCTGAAAACACCACACACCACGGATCAGTGTCTCAGTGTCAGAAGGCATTGAATGGAGCTTTTCTCTAGTAAGGGAAAGTGAAACTTAATTTATCTGGAAGAGAAATGGCGCATCAACTTATTCCGCTGGATCAAGAAAAATTGAGCTGTTCTATCTGTCTGAAACTTCTAAAGAATCCAGTCACTATTCCCTGTGGGCACAGCTACTGCATGACCTGTATCAGAAACTGCTGGAATGGGAAGGAAACCCACAGCTGTCCTCAGTGCAGGAAGACTTTCACACCGTGGCCTGTCCTGGTGAAAAACACCATTTTAGGTGAGCTAGTGGAAGACGTAAAGAAAGCAGGACTTCCAGCTACTTCATCTGGTCTTGCCTATGCTGGACCTGGAGATGTGGCCTGTGATTTCTGTTCTGGGAGGAAGCGGAAAGCCTCCAAGTCCTGCCTGATGTGTAGGGCGTCTTATTGTGAGCATCACCTCCAGCCTCACTACAACGTAGCTCCATTAAAGAAACACAAGCTCATCAATGATGCTTCAAAGCTTCAGGACAACTTCTGCCCTCGCCATGATAAGGTGATGGAAATCTTCTGCCGCACTGATCAGCAGTGTGTCTGTTATTTCTGCTCAATGGATGAACACAAAGACCATGTCACAGTGCCAGCTGCAGCAGAAAGAGCTGAGAAACAGAAAGATCTTGAAACAAATCGAAAAAGTGTCCAACAGATAATCCCAAACAGAGAGAAAGATGTGAAGGTGCTTCAAGAGGAGGTGAAGGCTATCAATCTTTCTACTGATAAAGCTTTGAGGCAATCTGAGAAGATGTTCAAAGATTTGATCAATCTAATTGAGAAAAAAAGCTCTGAGGTGAAGCAGCAGATCAGATCCAAGCAAAAATCGGAACAGAACAGAGTCAAAGAGCTTCAGGA